ATGGAATTGGGGTGCAATCAAATATAGCCTAAATGTATAACGCTTTCACTCCCAGATGCACCTTCAGAGATGGTAGAATAAGCCCTTTCTATTGCACTTCCTCAATAAATCAAACATTACACCATTTTAACATTTCTCATATATGCAGCCTTTTGCTTAGAAGGTAGTTCTTTGGATTCTTTTGTTTTTGTTCCATGAAGGTACTGTTACAGCAACAACAAGAACTGTTCTTTCGTATATTCTCTTCAATGATTACGTTTTACGTGGTTTTAGAAGCACATTGGATGCTCATTTCCTTTTTAACTATGATCTGTGCAGGTCTCTTTCAAAACCAAAGTTTTTCATCCGAACATCAACAGCAACGGCAGTATTTGCCTTGATATCCTCAAAGAGCAATGGAGTCCTGCCCTTACTATATCCAAGGTAGCACTCGAGATTGTTGGTTCTTTCCTTTTTGACATTTATTTACAACCATTGCCCACCTTTTCTCGTGCTGTATCGTCTTAGAGTACATGAGCAGACGCTTGATATTGTTAGTTACACTCATTGTTGGAGGTTGGATCTCTTTGATGTGAGCATTAATGACAATGGGATGGTAATGTTTGCTGGCAATACTTTTTACAGGTGCTGCTCTCGATTTGCTCCTTGTTAACTGATCCAAATCCCGATGATCCTCTTGTACCTGAGATTGCTCACATGTACAAGACTGACAGAGCCAAGTATGAGACTACTGCTCGGTCCTGGACTCAGAAATATGCAATGGGATAGGAGGTTTAATCTCTATGTTGCATTTTATGGTGGGCAGTAAATAAATAGGAAAAACAAAACTATTTTATGCCCATATTAAGGATTTTGGTCATTTTTACCTTGTCTACTTGGCTTGGTGGATGCCAGGGAAAAAAAAATGGAACTGTTAAAACTGTTTCAATTAGTATGGGAAGTCGTCCTATCCAGTTTGTGTGCGCGCATTTTGCCTCAACCGAATGTCGATTGCATTTGGCCTAACTATTAAAAAAAAATAAAATCTACTTTTCCTGAAAGTAAAAGAAAATCTTCTACATAACTTTTACTGTATGCAAATACTAATTCCCTTGGCAAGAGAAATGAGGCATGGTTACTATTACTTTATGATTAATTTCTAGTCAGGGACAAGTTCGATTTAATATTTGGCATTTTCAAGAGACTTTTTAAAAGTGACAC